CCCTTCATAATGCAGAGGTCAGCTGCCTGCTCTGCCAATAGTTAGAAATGGCACTATAGTAAGCAGTGTTTAATAAACAGCTGTTTTTCTAAATTCTGTGAGCTGAGGTGAAATTCAGTGCAGTCATGTATCGTGATACGTATCGTATCGTGGCATCTGTATCGTGATATGTATCGTGAGTTTGCTGGTGATACACAGCCCTAGTAAACATACGATCAAAAATCTAAAATCTTTATTTTTTTACTTCAATTTATAGTAAACTTAGCATAGCATAAATTATAATTCAATTGGACTTTTTTTTTTTACAACCAAAAAAACACAAAAAAAGATGAAATATTTTATTTGAAATAAAAATAATAAAGTATAAAATAATATATATATATATAATTTGTATACTATATAAAATATTGATAAATCAATATTAATATAAATAAATCAATGGTGATCATGTCATATTATATATATATATTTCTTCTGTTTTACTTGAAATAAAACATGTATAATTTTAAGATTTCTAATTTATTCAGATTAACATATATTAAAATTAATACAACAATTTGTTTTTTTGTTTGTTTTTTTAACAATACCTGTTGATGAGTTGTTACTAAAAAGATAATTTTTAAAATAATAAATATATAAATAAAAATAAACAGTGTAAGTATGCAATTTAATATTAAAATAAAGCCATAATAATATTAAAATAAATACAATTGAGATATTTTTAATTGCTTAATTTTTTCATTTCCTTATCAATTTTTACTATTGATTTTTTACATTTTCTCTACATTCAAATGCATGTGAACATTTATGTACATATTCAGTATATGTCCTCTGAATGGTTCAGAAATTCATAATGCAAAAGTTTATTATTATCTTAAATATCTTAAAGTCACAAAGAGCAGATGCTTAATTTAAAGTCATGCCTAAGATAATAATATCTTTATTTTATACATCTTGCATATAGTATATAATATCTTTAGTCCTGTGTCTTATTTGTAATTGTGTCTTGTTTACCATTACACTTTTTCCAAACTAAACGTGCTTAAACTTGCTTACAATACCGTCTTAAATTATATTTCTATCACTGACGGAAAAACAAACAAAAAAGCCGTTTGGAATTCGCCCGATAAAACTAACTAAATACACCTAAACTGAAGGTATATCTTCTAAACGATGATCAACCCACAGCCGAGCAGTGGAGTTCATGGAGTTCATAAGAGGTCACAGAGGTCAAAGGTCACACTCTGACCTTACAATCTCACACACTCGTCTGTGTCGTCTGTGTCTGATTACACACACTTCTCTAGTGTACAGTAAGTGAACCGCACTGATGTGGATCCTGCCTGTCACACACTTCAGCTGCGTTTGTACTAGGGCTGCACGATTAATCGCATGCGATATTTAACGCGCATCTTGTCAGAAAGCCGGTTCTGTAATCAGCGTAAATCTCCATCACCTGCGGGCTTTCACATTGAGTGAAAGCACGCAGGTGATGGAGATTTACCGCTGATTACAGAACCGGCTTTACTGATAAGATGCACGTTAAATATCGCATGCGATTAATCGTGCAGCCCTAGTTTGTACTCAACACAAACACGGGCGGAAAATCCGGTTTAACAGAGGACAGAGACAGAAGAACAGGAGTGGAAACTGACGAGTGGACGAGGGAAGGTCAGATGCACATGAGTCACATGACTCACGTCACCATAGCAACAGCAGCTTCCTGAACAGACCAGAATAAACACTGCCATTATGAGCCGCTCCATTACATACAGCAAGAGAAAGTGTTGGGTTTCAGCGTGTGTGAGACCGACGGACTGAGGAAGAAGCGCCAAAAGGGATATTATAATTAACTAAAACTAGTGCTGTCAAACGATTAATCGCATCCAAACTAAAAATTGTTGTTTACATACTATATCTGTGTGTTCTGTGTATATTTATTATGTATATATAAATACACACACATGCATGAAAGTATGTATATATTTCAGAAAAAATGTTATGTTTATATATTAAATATATTTATATATGATATAAATTATATGAATAAAAATATAGACATGTAAATATTTTCTAAATATATACAGTATGTGTGTGTATTTATATATACATAATAAATATACACAGAACACACACATATACTGTGTAAAGAAGGGCACAATACTCTGGCATACTACAGTAAAGAAGGGCAAAATACTCTGGGGTACTACAGTAAAGAAGGGCACAATACTCTGGCGTACTACAGTAAAGAAGGGCACAATACTCTGCCGTACAGTAAAGAAGGGCAAAATACTCTGGTGTACTACAGTAAAGAAGGGCACAATACTCTGGCATACTACAATAAAGAAGGGCACAATACTCTGCCGTACAGTAAAGAATGGCAAAATACTCTGGCGTACTACGATAAAGAAGGGCACAATACTCTGCCTTACAGTAAAGAAGGGCAAAATACTCTGGCGTACTACAGTAAAGAAGGCCACAATACTCTGGCGTACTACAGTAAAGAAGGGCACAATACTCTGTTGTACAGTAAAGAAGGGCACAATACTCTGGCGTACTACAGTAAAGAAGAGCACAATACCGTGGCGTACTACAATAAAGAAGGGCAAAATACTCTGGCGTACTACAGTAAAGAAGGGCACAATACTCTGCCATACAGTAAAGAAGGGCAAAATACTCTGGCGTACTATGATAAAGAAGGGCACAATACTCTGGCGTATTACAATAAAGAAGGGCACAATACTCTGCCGTACAGTAAAGAAGGGCAAAATACTCTGGCGTACTACAGTAAAGAAGGCCACAATACTCTGGCGTACTACAGTAAAGAAGAGCACAATACCGTGGCGTACTACAATAAAGAAGGGCAAAATACTCTGGCGTACTACAGTAAAGAAGGGCACAATACTCTGCCGTACAGTAAAGAAGGGCACAATACTCTGGCGTATCTGGTGTGCTACATTAAAGAAGGGCGCTATACTCTGGCGTACTACAGAAAAGCAGGGCACTATACTCTAGTGTGCTACATTAAAGAAGGGCACTATACTCTGGCGTACTACATTAAAGAAGGGCACTATACTCTGATGCGATACATTAAAGCAGGTCACTATACTCTGGCGTGCTACAGTAAAGAAGGTCACAATACTCTGGTGTACTACAGTAAAGCAGGGCACTATACTCTGGCGTGCTACAGTAAAGAAGGTCACAATACTCTGGTGTGCTACAGTAAAGAAGGTCACAATACTCTGGCGTACTACAGTAAAGCAGGGCATTATACTCTGGCGTGCTACAGTAAAGAAGGTCACAATGCTCTGGTGTGCTACAGTAAAGAAGGTCACAATACTCTGGTGTACTACAGTAAAGCAGGGCACTATACTCTGGCGTGCTACAGTAAAGAAGGTCACAATACTCTGGTGTGCTACAGTAAAGTAGGGCAGCGGTGTTACCTTGGGTCTGGGACTGGAAGCGCTGCAGCTCCTTCAGTAAGCAGCTCCGGTTCGCAGGGCTCAGGCCGTACACGAACTCCCGCGCCTGGTTGGGAAGCTCCAGCTGCTCCGGTTTGATCCTACGCCGGTGCGTACCGAGAAGACGCTGGTGCAGCTGAGCCGGTCCGGTGCGGCGGGCCACGAGCGCGCGGAGCAGAGCCAGCCGGATCATTGCGGCACTGAAACACACTGCAGACCAGAACACTCGCGATTAAACATGAAGGAACGCCAACCCAGAGAGCGTTTGCAGAGAGTTAAGAACCGCGCCTGTCAAGCTCACACACACCGGCCTCACCGAACCAAAACAACCCGCACCCAGCGCCTTTAACAATCCGCGGCCGTCTGCCTTCTCATTCCTGCTGTAAGAGAGGCAGTTAATTCCTCTTGTGCGATTATTTAGGGGTTATGATTCATCGTTGTGTAATTACTGACAGTTCAAAAACGCCTGAAAGACGTTCCTCACGCTTCTCCTCTGACGCGCACAGCGGTGACGTTGCATGACGGGAAATGTAGTCCTGCGCGGCAGATGCGCCATGGGAAACGTAGTCGGAAAAGCCCTTAGCTCGTCGATGACGAGGCTGGATTCAGAAAACTATGGAAGCCCATTTCCGCTACTTATTAAAAAATAAATGAATGAAAAGTCCAAATTATGTAATTCCAAGCTTAATTATGAGATAAAAAGTCCAAATTACAAGTTTGAAAGTAGAAATTATGACATAAAAGTTATAACCCAGATAGCAAAATGACTCCGGAGCGGATCTGCCCCGGAGTCACCACAAGCTCCGGAACGGATCCGCAAAACGGGTCCGTATCGGAGTCCACTTGCACAGCGCAACGGATCCCAAACAGATAAGGATTATGGATCCGGAGCGGATCCGGTCCAGACCCTACCCGTATCCGCTAATAAAGTGGTTCATCCGGCCCGGATCCGATCCGGACCCGTTCATGAAGTAGCTCATCTGGCCCGGATCCGATCCGGACCCGTTGATAAAGAAACGATAATGCTAATGTGCTGAAGAGCACATGTTGAAGTCCTCTTCAAACTGGCCGGCAGCAGCTTCAGCACTCTGAGGAGGATCTGATTTGATCAGAGACGCAAAGCAATTAACAACTTTATTAATGTTAATGTTACTGGCAACTGTACAAATAAAGCATATTTTAAAAGTATTCTTACCGAGTTCAGTCTTCTTCAACCTGGCCGGCCGCAGCTTCTCCACTCTGAGGAGGATTTCTGAGACGGCACCGGTAAAAAAAAAACAAAAAAAAAACCCACGTTCGGATCGCTAATCCGCGCCGTGTCCATAATGAGTCCGCTAACTGACAGTGCGCTGTCCGAAGGCGGGGCATATTCTGGGCGAATGACTGAACAGAGTCTGACGGTACAGCGGAGCTGCCGACTCGAGGGTGGATCCGCCCCGGAGTCTGTTGCTGTCAGGGAATTATTAGTTAAAAGTCAAAATTATGACTTTAAAAGTGGAAATTATGACATAAAAAGTTATAATGATGAGAAAAATCGAAATCACTAAAATTTGACATACCAAGTCAAAATTAGGACATAAAAATTAATATTAGATAAAAGTCAAAATTATGACTTAAAAAAAAAAAAGAAGAAATACTGTTTAAAAAAAATACCGGAAACACTTTATTTTAAGTATTTTAACACATTTACTTACAATTATAATAACAATAAATTATGCATAATTACATGAAAGTAAAGTCGTTTTATTTTAAGAACATTCTGAGTCAAAATGATGAAAAAAAAACGTATAAAGTCTTACATGAGATTAAACTTTAAATATTTTGAGAATAATGTCCAACCAATGAGAATAAAGTCGTAGCATTGTAAGATGAAGTTTTATTTTGATAATAAAATCTAAATTACGAGAATAACATCTTTTACAGTAGTCGTCGTAAAATTTGCAGAATAAAGTCAAAAGGACAAGAATTCAGTTGTAGCATTGTGAGATTCAAGTCGTAACATTTTGAGAGTAATGTTTATATTTTAACATTTTTGACTTGATTCTCATAATCTTAATTTTTTGTATGTTTTACATGGCACTAAAACACTGTCATACTAAGTCATGAGATTAAAACAAATCAAAATTATGATATAATTTTGCCTTATCTTTGATTTTTAGAGTCTAACTTTTCATCTTGTAATTATGACTTACCAAAGCATGATTTTTTTTTCTTATGTGGCAGAAATGGGCCTCCATAATCAAACGGATGAGTGAACCGAATCATTAAAGATCTGAGGGTTGTTTTTTTCTTCTGATGTTGTTAAGATCAAAATTCACTTTCTGTAGTGAGTGAACATTACTTTTCATGACAATATACAATTTACAACTGTCTTCACCCCAAATCAACAGAAAACAATAAAAATAAGCATATTTCGCATTTGTCTGTCTATTTTCAAGATCAGTAACACTCTATAAGCAATCATATTGTTTTACAGCATTTAATATCATCTGAATGTTACTGAATAAAAATGATTGTTAACAGATACATTTAATTTAGAAACACAGCATTAGTATAACATTAACAAAGATTAATAAATGCTGTCTAAATATTGTTACTTTGTTTTAGCAAACACTAATTTAAGCAAAGACGCGTACACTTTATTAAAATTAGTTAATTACATCCTCAAATTTGACCTCACTTGCTACAGAAAGTGAATTTTGAGCATTTATACATTCGTATAAAACACAGAATATTAAATATTAACTGACGTTCCAGATTTCATGTTTACTGTCACTTCATGTTAAGTCTCATTAGTTAAAACTTGTTAAATCATTAAGGTGAACTAACAATGAACAATACATCTACAGTTGAAGATTTTATATTGTATACTAACATACAAATGTCATCATTACCATCTGAGTGTCAGTAAGACAGAATATTAAATGTATGTATATATATATATAAAAAAAAATTGAAAAGCCCCAATTTATTTTATTTTTCAGCTAAATTCTTTTAAATTTAGCTAAATCATGTCCTTTACTAGGCATTTCCCATGTGATGATTTTTCAACTTACAGTGATGATTTAAATGAATTAAATAAACGCGATGTTGAAGGAATGAAAAGCCTGTGAGAAAACAAACCACAACAAAGAAGTTCAAAAAATATAATCAAGTGCAAAGTTCCAGATCACTCTGAACTTAGAACTTTAGCTTAATTGTTTTATTTACAAAAGAACTAAAGCAGATTATTTACTTACATCAGTTCTCTTGGCAAATCAGCCGTTTAACCTGAAATCAAACACGCATCTAATCGTGGAGTTACTGCATTCAACAACAACACAAGAAATCAGAAACACAAAATGCTGCGTTTTGGTGAAACGTGTTAATTGCATTGTAAAAAGCAACATCATGTGATGCTATCAGATACTGAGGAGGGTTGAAAAATGCTGCCGGAGAGCGTAATATATCGCAGTCAAACTGAGATTAACAGCTGATTCAGCTTTCTCCAGTGAAAAACTGTCAAACGTCAGTGTATCATTCTTTTATTACATGTACAATAATGTACACAATTATGAGAGGTCACACAAGAGACCAGTAGTGATCATATCGAGGTATACTGCGATTACAGTAGCACGCCACTCTTTATTAGGGCTGCAAAACGATTAATCGATTCAAAATAAAAGTTGTATGTGTGTGTACTGTGTATATTTATTATGTATACGCACACATATACATGTATATATTTAAAAAGTATATATATTTATACTTGTACAGTTTATATTATGTATAAATACAAATAAGCTATTTTATATAAGTCTAACATATTTTTCCTTAATATATACATGTACACTGCCGTTCAAAAGTTTAAGACTTGCATTTATTTGATCAAAAATACAGAAAAAATCAGTAATCTTGCAAAATGTTATTACAATGTAAAATAATGGTTTCTATTTTAATATCCTTTAAAATATAATTTATTTCTGTGATGCGAAGCTGAATTTCCATCAGCATCATTACTCCAGTATAAAGTGTCACATGATCTTCAGAAATCATTCTAATATGCTGATTTATTATTAGAATTATCAACAGCTGTGCTGCCAAATATATATATATATTTTTTTGGAAACTGTTATACTTTTTTCAGGATTCTTTGATGAATAAAAAGTTAAAAAGAACAGCATTTATTCAAAATATAAATCTTTTCTAACAATATAAATCTTGGCTATCACTTCTTAATTTAACACGTCCTTGCTGAATAAAAGTTTTAATTTCTTAAAAAAAAAAAGAAAGAATAAAAATGTACTGACCACAAACTTTTGAACTGTAGTGTATATTGATAGAAAATATTTCTATTTTAAATAAATGCTCTTTTTTAAAACTTTTTATTCATCAAAGAATCCTGAAAAAAAGTATTACGGGTTCCAAAAAAATATGAAGCAGCACAACTGACAATAAATCAGCATATCAGAATGATTTCTGAAGATCATGTGACACTGAAGACTGGAGTAATGATGCTGAAAATTCAGCTTTGATCACAGAAATAAATTAGATTTTAATGTATATTAAAATAGAAAAACGTTATTTTACGTTTTACGGAAAAAATAAATTCTGTATTTTTGATCAAATAAATGCAGCCTTGATGAGCAGAAGAGACTACTGTAAAAAAACATTAAAAATCGTTCTAATCTCAAACTTTTGACCGGTAGTGTATGTGTGTGTGTATTTATATATACATAATAAATATACACAGTACACACACATATAGTATGTAAACATAACTTTTATTTTGAATCGATTAATCGCGATTAATCGTTTTGCAGCCCTACTCTCTATCGTTCAGCCAAACATGGTCAAGAGCGTTTCAGGAACAACACAAGATCAGCCCTTTTATCTGAACACACACACACACACAAACAAAAGCATAACGTCCCTGATCTCGCAATCGTTTTTAATTTAAACATCTGCGCTGCTTCAGTTGGAGTCCGTGTCGTCGTTAATGTACTCTTCCTCTACGAGCGTCACGCCCGGCTGCGTCCCCCACTCCTCCTCGTCGTACTCGATGCTGTCGTTGTCCTCCAGAAGCTCGTTTTCAGGCTCCGCCCCTCCGGCAGCTCCACCCACATCAGCCCCACCCTCTTCTCCCTCAAACTCCGCCCTCTCCTGCCCCGGCGCGGCGTAGCCATTGTTATTGGAGAATGCGGTGCGCTCGTGTCCGTCATCCTCGATGTAGACGCGCTGGTGGCACATGGGACACGTGTCTTGAATATACAGCCATTTGCGTAAACACAGTGCGTGGAAGTAGTGGTGGCACGGCGTAATGCGCGCGGACGCGGCGAACTCCTGATAGCAGATCGCACAAACGTCCTCGATCTCCCTCAGCCGCGTGCCTTTGACCTCCGGGAGCGAGTTGATCTTCTTGACGGCGGTGCGACGGTTGATAAACGTCTTCCAGCCGTTCTTCGCCTGCAGGTAGATGTTGAAATACGCGTGCAGGCACATCATGCACGCGCGGATTTTACTTCCCGACTCGAACATCATCGTATACGCGCCGTTTCCGAACATGATCACGCCGAAGACGAACTCGACGACGTTGCCGGTGGAGCGCACGTAGTAGACGTAGTCATCCAGCTTCTCCCAGAGCACGTTGTAGAAGCCGTCGATCATGAATAGAGCGTAGACGGTGAGCGAGACGAGGACTTTGAGACAGAGCTCCACGCAGAACGCGGTGACGGCGAAGAGCCACGTGTTTAGCACGTAGTGATGCCATAGAACATAGCTAAGCAGGACGGGGAGAGCAAAGAGGACTAGCGACACCAGCAGCACGGGAACATGCCTGCGCACTGACGAGACGTGCGAGGCGCTTAGCGACATTAGCACCGGATCCGTCATTCCGTGGATGAAATGCAGAATCGCGGTTAGCAGAAGGCACATGTTCCGGCTAAGCCGGATCAGTCGCTCTTCGGGATCCAGTCCGCTTAATCCCGTCTGCAAAGCGAGGATGAAGAACAGCACTGGCGCGACAAACCCCAGCCGCTTGTCCTCCTCCTCGGTTGAGCCGATGAACGCTAGGATGCTAAGTCCCAAGTAATGCGCGAGTGATGAGATAACTGCGCTCATTCCCAACACGGTGAGCATCGAATCGCAGCCGCTGATGATCAAGTTGCTGGTCAAGTCCCAAAACAAGTCCCAGCCGAGCTGCAGGCCGCTTTCCGAGCGAACCACGCGCACTACGTACACTAGTATGACTGCTTGCGCCGTCATGCGCGTTAGCCAGAAGACGCGCAGGATGTCGGGGAAGCGTATGCGCTTCCAGGTGTCCTCCAGCAGCAGCTGCAGGCCGTAGATGCGGTACATGTGGCGCAGGAGTAGATAGACGTAGCGGCACGAGTAGTAGAACCACTTCAGCTTCCACAGCAGATTAACGGTTGCGTGCGTCGCGAGAATCGCCCCCGACGCTAGTGCTAGCGCCTGACGCACGTGCGCCGGGAGCTCCAGCATCAGGCCCCACAGCGGGAGCATGACGTCCAGCACCAGCAACGCGGCACAAAGCGATGGCACGTTTAGCAGCAAAACGTAGCCCAGTCCTAGGATTAGCTGCAGCAGGCCCAAGCCCAGCGCCGCTCGGTTATACGTGCTGTAGAAGTCAATGTGCGACGTGCCGTAGTAGTTGATGAGGACCGACGCCGCACCCAGCAGAACGGCCGCGAACAGAGTGTAGAACTTGAACAGGGACTTCTGGGAAAGCACCAGAACCACGCTGGAAACCAGAATACCTGCAAAACGAGAGGCTGAAAATCAGCGTTCGCATCGCAACAGTGCAGAATGCAATGCAATATTATGCAGAAACAATGCAGAATGCAACAAACCGAATTCACCGGAAAATACTATTCCACATTTACTTCTTGTATGGATAAATTCTGCAGGTGAAATGCAGTTATTTTAGTAGGAACTTGCACGATAATGAAACATCCCCCATGCAGATCCGCATCGGAATTAAGTTCGTCAAACTTTGAGCATGCAACAGTAACGCGTTGACACTGCGACTACTTTGAATATGCATATTTTGGCATTGCATAGAGTGAAATGATTGTGAATGAAAAATTACAGTTTTCAAGTAGCAGTCTATGGAAGCCATGGAATAAAAGTATAAAAAGGGTAATTTTCAGTTTATATTTTAAAATTATGGCTTTATTCTCACAATTCCGAGATTATATCTCACAATTCAGATAAGAAAAATCAACTCGTCATTCTCTCTTTTCCCCTCGGCTCAGAATTATGAGTTTATATCCCACACTTATGGCTTTTTTTCCCTCAGAATTGACAAACTCACTATTGTTGAGTTAAATTTGAATTGTGAGATAAAATAGGTCAATGTTATGTACAATGTTATAGGTTTAAAGAGTATTTCATGCTTTAACTGTAGGGCTAATACTATATGTCCCCTATGAACGGCATGTGTGAATATTATGTAGACATGTTGTTTAAATCAAATTTATGCTTTAAAAGAAGAGTAATCATAGCATTTTTCATCCATAGTCTGTCAGTTTAAACATCCGCGTTTAGCTTCAAATGGTCAAATTGGTCTATTATTTGTATACTAAATAATATAAAATAAGTAAAGTTTTCATTGATATTTTGAATGAGCTTTTATCTTTATATTTTCAGTGTTTCATTTTAATTTTAGTTTAATTATGAGATATAAATCCGCAATTGTGAGCAAAAAAGTCAGAATTTTAAGATTAAAAAGTCGCAATTTCCTTATTAATTTTTTTAATTATGTGCTGGGGAAAAAAACTAATTGTGTTGTGTAAGAAGTGAAAAAAGTCCAGATTGCGAGATATAAACTCAGAAATGCGAGATTTAAACTTGGGATTGTGAGAAAAAGTATGAATCGTGGGATAAGAAAGTTCACATTTGCTTTTTAATTTTTTTAATAAGTGGTGGTTAAACAAAACCAAAAAAAAATTTCAAAAAAAGAATTCCTACTTTTTTTACATCTACATTTTTTACATTTATATATTTTACATCCAACTTGAAATTGCAAGAAAGAAGCACAAATTGTGAGATAAAAAGTCACAATTTTTTATTTTGATCAGAGAAAAGAGTCAAAAATGCTAGATGTGAGAAAAAAAAGTTTGAATTGTGAAATAAAAATGTGCTATTACATTTTTTTTTTCAGACAGCCTTCCATATTTTTCAAACTAGTACAAAGAAAACATCCAAAATACGCATTTAAGTGTTTATTTTATTGCACTTTATCTATTCTGGACTGTAGATTTCAATTACACTTAATTACAAAAGTTCAGTTCAGGAAATGTATGCAAATTAGCACATAGTTCATTAGATACTGCCTCAGTTGCATATTTAAACAACATTAAAGTAAACTTGCTCAGTAAAATACAAATCAACAGTTGCCCTAAATAGTGAAGTAGCCTAGCTAGTGTGAGTGGTAGTGAGATGTGTGACAGTTTCTGCTGTCAGATCGAATGTAAGCGGACTGAGACTCTTGCATCATATGAATGAGTCTGAAGGTTTGACGGTTTCTCTCATAAACTCACGGGATTCGGTTCTGTGTTCAGGCCCGTTTCACCGACATAAGCTCATTATCTCTGACGTGAGAACAGCAACATCAGTACACCGTTATTAAACGCCGGGCCCGTCCCGACCCCCAATCACGGCGAACCGGACTCACCCAGCGCGCGGATTAACGCTCTCCCGGCGGTTCCGGTCCATCCGGTACCGGGATCTGAGTACGAGTTGAATATGGCGTCGATTATAAAGATGCTAGGGACCCGCAGAACCACATCCAGCACGGCCTGGAGGTGCTGACCCAGCCGCCCCTGAGCGGAGGCCATGGCGCCGATGGGGAACCGCAGGGTTCTGTGCTGAGACCAGGCTCGGTGTCACGCAGGATCTCCGCCGGCCGCCATTTTGGCTCTGCTGTTGTTGCTATGTAAGGAACGCGGAAGTGACAATGTACATGCGCAGAATATAGAATACTACACCGGAGAACTGACGCGGGTTTATTATATTATATTAAATGTAACCCTGGACCACAAAAACAGCACGGGTATATTTGTAGCAATAGCCAACAATAGCCATTGTATGGGTCAAAATTATCAATTTTTCTTTTATGCCAAAAATCATTAGCATATTAAGTAAAGATCATGTTCCATGAAGATATTTTATAAATTTCCTACCGTAAATATATCAAAACTTAATTTTTGATTAGTAATATGCATTGCTAAGAACTTCATTTGGACAACTTTAAAGATGATTTTCTCAATATTTAGATTTTTTTGCACGCTCAGATTCCAGATTTTCAAATAGTTGCATCTCGGCCAAATATTGTCCTATCCTAACAAACCATACATCAATGGAAAGCTTATTTATTCAGCTTTCAGATGTCAATACATTACCAGTGTAATGTCAGTATTATTTATATACGATTGTAGTTTTTATTAATATTTTGAATTGCATTTAGTCATTTGGCAGTCATTGCTCTTTTGTTGGTTTTGATTGCGAACTATTGTCATCATTTGTAAGTCGCTTTGGATAAAAGCTGCGCTCCATTTTCCGGGCTGCAAATCAGGAAGATTACTTACAAAGCAGTCTTTTGTGGCAGAAGTGATGGTTCTACCATACTTGTAACAAGGAGTAGAATTGAGTTTTAGCTATATGAAGTTTGCACAAGACTAAATAATAATCTGAGATATCATGGTGCAGTTGAACATTATTAGCGCCGGCATGAATAACAATCTTACTGAATTTACGTTTAGCATTATTCAGCTTTATTTCAATTAACAAAAAAGCCAGTATATTACATGTTTCTTGTCACATTTATTGTGCATGTGTTGTATAGTACATAGGAAGTTGTTCTCATGAAGTGTGTTTGAAGAACAGTCTCGTAGTGTTGTTGTAGATGGTTTCAGCGAGGTCCAGTGGATCTTCGTCCCTGACGCCGGCCATCACCTCCAGCACCTGTCTTGATATCAAACACACAACCACTATCAGAGCGTCTTCCCACACACACACACACACACACACACTCACACTCAGTGAGTCAGTGATGAATAAATCCAGAGACAAACATCTTTCAGACGCTGAAACTCACCAGCCATTGATTTGGATGTACAGATCCAGATCAAGAAGAGCCGCTGCGTCCCGCTGAGAGCCATCAAACGAGTGAACCTGACAAACACTGACAGATCACACCAAAACAAAGATGAATAATGGCACTATTATCTTTTGGATAATTGTCAAAATGTATGAATTTTGCAGCATTAGGGGCCATTCACACAGAGCGTGTTTTCCCTTCCGATGCGCTACTTTTCCATTGTTTTTCTATGTAAACGCTAGACGGACGTGAATGACCGCTGCACTCGTGTCTCGTGTTTTTTGCAGCATTGAAAAAGAATTTCAACTTTTACATGCAGCGCCACTCAAAACAGTGGACCAATCAGAAGACCCCGGAGGCGGGGCAAGTGTTGCCAGCTTTTGTTTACAATAACAAGTTTAATTTGAAAGCAACCTGCCGGAGGAGGCAGTCATTGTGGCTATGTCTGAATTATATAACATTTCTTCGAGCGATTACCTGTTTCTTAAAAAAAGAGCCTGGAGAGAAATATCACTGAATATATCTGGAGATATTAGGTCTCAGAGCGCATCTGGAGACCCTCGCGTTCTGCGCTGGGCTTTTTCAAAACTATTCCTGAGCACTGTGACGCTGTTTGAATGGCCAGTAATCACTGTGAAGAACCGAACTGTATTGTATAAAGTGCTACAGAAACACATGAGACGCTCACCACTCCACCGACACAATGCTCTGTTCCTCTTCATGATGTCTGTGAGCGACACACACACACACACCCACACACACACACACACACACACACTCACACGGCAAACACGTTATGGTATCTATCATGCAGCTCTGGTGCGGCCGAAAAGCAACTGAGAAAGAGCAGGTTCAACATCAGGAATGTTCGATGGCTTTTCCACATGAAGGTCCGC